GACACACACGTGTAAATACTGAATAGTTTCTCTAGTGTGAGAAACTGATAGTGTAAATAAGGATTAAAATGAATAATTGATAATGTGAAATAGGAAGAAAAGGTCCAAAGTAGTAGGGGAAGTAGGAGGGGTAGAGGAAAGGAAAGAAGGGAAAGGAAAAATTATGAGAAAAGGAAAAAATGGAAACAAAATCTTTGTAAATAGGGAAGGGTGGAGGGGGCGAAGGAAGGACAGGAAATGGGGAAAAAAATAAGAACCAAGATGCATCATGTACAGGTACAAGCACCCAATGATAAATGTAAATGTATTGTATACCTAAAATATACCAATAAAAGAATTTAAGGAAAAAAATTTTAAAAAATAAAAGTAATAGAGAAATTTCCAGTTCTGGGACAAGAGGGAGTAGTACTGCTAAGTACAAGTAAAAACCCTGGATAGCATATGTAAAACAATACAAAGGAGACTTGGAAAGGTAGGGATAAGACAGACAAGCTACTTATTAGAAAAACATCGTAGTAGGTACACAGGGCTTTTTATTTGCTTCAAATAGTCCATATACCTGGGTGCTGGAGACACAGGGAGGCTGGAAATACCAGTGGGCTCAGACAAAAAAGCCTCTCCCACCCAAAACACTCTCTCTCTAGATCAAGGAGCAGCAAAGAGACAGTCTAGCAAGGGAGAAAACATTTAGTTAATCTGATGGTTGAGGAAGATTGTCAACTTGATTGGTTTGTGATCTGCCCACAGGATTAGCAAAAGACATGTCTGGGTGTGTCTGGGCTGGTCACAGAGGTGTGACCTCAGGATCTGTATCTATTCCCTTGTCCCTTTCTCTCTGGTGTTGTTTCCCTGCTGTTTTCCTGCTCTTCTTCCCAGGTGCTATGAACTAAGCATTTAGCTCTGCCACAATTTTTCCATGATGTTTATGCCTTGGAGCTAGCCAATCCTAGACTGAATCCCCTGAATCCGTGAGGAAAAACCTTTCCTTCTTTAAATTGTGGGTGTCAGGTATTGTATCCCAGCAACGGAAAAGCTAATAGTTAACAATTGCCTTTGCAGTAAAGTTAACATAGGAGGCTTACAAACTCATGCTTTCAAGTTGGTCTTTGTCTGGCATCTGAGAACTTTCTACAGTTCCTACATAGGTGAGAAACTATCCCTAAAGTAATAAGAGTGACTCACTGTACCTAGACTGCTTGCAAACAATATGATTTAACCACACACCTTGATTCCTTCTGGGAATCTGCAATTTTGGTACATGCAAGGGAGCTTGTACCCACATGACGAAAAAACATTGAGCACTGAGTCTTTCATGAACTTTTTCGCTAGACACATTTGGTAAATGTTGCCACAATTTACTGGTGAAGAGATTAAATGAATCTTGTGTAATTCCACTAGGAAAGAACTCTTAGAATCTTGTTTCTGGTTTCCTCTGGACTTCATTCCATGAGGCTTTTCTGTTTGCCAATTTTGTTTGTAACTTTTTGCTGCAATAAATCTTATCTGTGATACAACTGTATGCTGAGTCCTGGGTGTCTTCAAAGAAAATCACTGAAGGTGATCATGATATTGGAGACCCCTGACACACTGCCATACTCCAACCAAATAACTGAAAAAGTTGTGGCCACTGTCAGGTCACCCTGTTTGTAGTACCTGAAAAAAGTATACAAAGAGATATACTAACAAATAAAACTGGGGTTAAAATGAAATCTTAAAATAATAACCAATCACAATGCCAAAAAGTTTATTTGAAAAGTGAAGGGTGAATGGGTATGAAACTAGCTCTGCAAATTGAATTTGGGCAGAACAAGAGGAAAAGAAGGCAAAATAAAAAATGAAAGAACACCCTGAGTCTGAGAGACACAGTGTGGGCTACTGTGGGAATTCATGACAGTGGCTTCCTGTGGCATCCACATGTCATGGGAGCTCGTGAGAAGTTCCACATACAGGGTCTTGAGAATTATTTGGCACTGTTCTGCGATCTTTTAATTGACAGGTTCCGCTCATTTCCCCAGCCAGCTTTGCCAAACCCTATCTCCTATATCATTTCCTCACAAAACTTATACTGAGAGACTGTTCCTCCACTAATACTATCTTGATGAGATTCATAATTACACAGTACTTCAGATTTAGACAACTGTAAACAGTGCTTTGAAATATTCACCTGTGAAAACAAAGGCTGGTAGCTACGATGGCAAAATATCAAGGCACATTTATCATTAAAGGAAATGAACCAGTAGAATGAAAAATGTAAGAGCAAGAGGAGGGGAGACTGAATTTATAGAAAGCTTCTTGAGAAGGAAAAATCCAGCACACACGTATAAGGGTTGGCTTCAGGTGGAAGGGAGCTGCCTCAATTGAAAGAGGAGCAAAAGAAGGGAGGATGAGTAAAGATACAGTTTAGTGACTAGATTTAGAAAGGTTTGAAGAGGAACTGCAAAAATACAAGACAATGTCATCTGCCTAGAGCAAGGAGGTAAATTCTACGGTTGGTCTGAGGTTTGAAGAGAGTGGAAGTTTTAAGTAGTTGTTTTGGGAAAGCAAATGGAATAGAGAAAGCCAGGCTCAGTTAAGAGCCTGTAGAATCTGTCCTCTGGGACAGACAGAGTATTTTTAGCTCATTCATTGGAGGCAAGAAAAAGGCAAGGGAGTGCATATAAAAGAGAGAAATACAGTGCTATAGTGAACTAAATTAAAAAAACAAAAATAAAGGAGGATTGTTTTCCAACTGGGAAAAAGAAAGTTTTACAAGAGAAGCAGATCAGAGTTGGGCAAGAGAAGGTGGTTGCTAAATGAAGAAAATGATTTGAGAAAAAAGAATAAACAGGTGTGGGGAAATAAAGATAAAACCATGGTAGCAGTGAATTCCTGTCCCAGGACTAGGGATGGCCTTTTGGTTTCTAAAACAAACATGGTCACACTGCTAACTGCAGTTGATTATCTGAATTTATGAGATTGGTTCTATATGTCTTATCGTCTCTTAGAATTGGCATCATATCTACCATGTCTCCCAGGTATCTTTAATTGCTGCCAAGACAGGAGAGAAAGACAAGCATAATATTCTCTGTGCCTTAAAAGAATGGATCCAGAGAGCAAAAGGAAAGAAAAATTTAATTTTTCTCTTCTTTTTGGCAGTTTTGCATTGCCATGAGTCTTTCCTAGGTCTATTTTATAGTCATTCTTAGTTACTGCGTCTATTCCCTTCTTAATAGCTTTTGATCTACTCCAAGTGTTTTCTCAACATTATTTTTTATCCCATGAATGTTTAATCAAATAGAAATTGACCTGGAGGAACTGAGATATGGGGAAAAGAAAACTTGAAATCATCCTTTAGATGGGCTATTTGTTATTCTGCTACCCTAATTCTTTGAGAAACACTGTTCAATGCTTGGCAACTATTAAATAATTTACACTGAGATAATACCTAACTTACAGATTCCCTGTCGCATGGCTTTTCTACCATAAACGATTGGAACTTCTGCATGATCAGTGTTGTTATATCAAAATTAGTGAAGCTGAAGAGTCTTAGTTGACTACAGTGATCAACATACACAAGCTTCTCTCATCACAATAGGAAAAATACAGAGTAATGAAACACCTACTATAAAGTGAATAAAGCAAAGAGAGATCGGGTTGAAAAAAAAAAGGCCATTGTTCATTCTGGAGACCAGTCCCTTGTTTTTTGACCTACAGTACTACAAACGTGATTTTTGTACATTTTTAAAATTTACTATTTCCCCTTTTTTTGTTGTTGTTGTTGTTGAAGCGGGCAAGACATTTGCATTTTTTTTGAATGAACAGATATTCACACATAACTGGTGCAGCTATAAATTACCAAAAGAGGGAGAGAAGGATGTAAAATAGTATGCCTTTTAACTAAAGGACTGCTGACTCTTTGCTTTCTGTTACTTTCAAAAGGGGAACATGAATCTGTCACATTGCTGTCAAGCAGAAGCAAGAAGGACTGGTACACATTCGATGCCGCTTTTATTTTTCCTTCCTTTTCAAAACCGAAGTTTTATAAGGCATCATATACACCAATCCAGAGGGCAATGACTCTTTAAAATTTTTATTATTTACAATTTTTTTTTGCATGACAGCAAGTGTTATCTTAGGAGCTTCCTGTGCGGACTATTGTGAATTTCCATTAAAAACCTAAAATTCTTTCGTTAGGGCAATTGGCTTTCCTTGTATTCAGAGGGAAGATGATGTAACAGAAGTGGGGCTGGGCAGGTGGAGATATGATACAGTGCAGTAATCTCAATCGCCACCTCTCCTATTCAGATTTGCTTCCTGGGCTCTCTGACTCACTTCGCCTTGCTCCTCTTTCCCAGCTCCCAAGGTTCCCCTAACCCCCTGAAATTATTAACGGTGGTGGCCTCTGCAGCAATAATGCGGTTTCAAGGCCTTATTTCTTAAAGGTCATCTTTTAGGCCTCATTTGGAACATGATCCAGTCACATCCTCGAGGCCCAGGAAAACCTCGGATCTCCGGGAGAAGCCAGCGCCCACACCTCAACCAGTTCCCACTTTGGCGAAACAATACAAGCAACGTCATGGGGCCCGAAGACCCGCCCCGCTCCAAGCCCATCAGCATAGGCTCAGAACAGACAAATGGATGTTCTGGGATCGCGGGCATCTGCACAATCTCACAGTCTCGGAAAGGACTGAGTTCCTCCTTGCCTGGTGGAGATCGCTGGCTGTAGCTAATTAGCATTACCGCCTAATTCGGAAAAAAAAAAAAAAAAAAGGATATAGTTGCTCCGTCCCCAGCGGGTTTCCGTTTCAAACCACCCACTTCCGGTTAGCCTGCCGGTTCCGGCCCCGCCCATCACTTCCGGTCTCCTTAGGTTCCGCTGCAGTCGGTTTGTGCGTCCGCTGCAGCCGGTTCCACCACAGTCCAGGTGAGGGGGTGCGGGTCCTCCTGGCGCGCTGCCCTTGGACACGTGTCCGGGCTGGGGGACGCGAACGCCCGCGGCGGGATGGGGACCTTGCCTGTCGGTCGGGCGCCCAGACCCTGGCCCCGGCCGGGTACGATGGGGCGCAGCCTTCCCGCCCGGCCTTCTGTCCCATTTCGAGGGCTTCCCGCGCCCCTGTCTCTTCTGGGTCCCCAGCTTCACACTTCCTTCGTCTTGCTTGCCTGTCTCCTCTCTCTCCTTGTTGAAGACCTACCCTCTCTCTTGGTACCGGCCTTCCGAAGCTGCCCCATACCAGTCCCTTTGTACAGATCTCTCTGCACCCTTTCGCAGTTCCTGTCGTCGATGTGCTGCCCCGGCAAGGAGTCCACGGTACTTCACAGTTACTTTTCGATAGACTTGGCGAAAAGTTAACCCCGCCCCCAGACCCATCCTTTCAATTCCAAAAGTTAAATATTTGCTGCTGTGCTTTCTCAGTCCGCGTGGCAGCAGGCACTTCTGGCTTGTGGCTGTGCTTTCAAACTGCCACCTTTGCTACTTTTTAGTTGTACGTTCTTGGCAAGTTATTTAACTTCTTTTTTCAGGTTTCTGGTCTGTATAATGAGGATAGTTGTTGTTAGTTCAAGATTGTGAAGAATAAATGAGGTGATTCAGTTAGCGTGGCACATAATTCTGTCACTACCTCCATTGTTTAGCTCTTTCTGGCTTATCAAGTGCTGTCACAGTGTTGTTTCCTACCTTAACGCTGTTCCTATCTAATAAATACAGTATCGATTGCCTCACCTTTCCTCGAGAAGACTGAGGCCCAGAGTTAGGAATTGGCTAGCAAAGTCAACCCAGTATGTTAGACAGTTATTCTTTGGGTTTGGGATCCCCTGCCCTACACCCCCATCATTTTTCATATATTTATATCGTACTGCACCATTAGTGAGCATGATTCCTCCTTCCTTCCCTCCCTCCCTTTCTCTTTTTCCTTTTGTGCTAGAGAGTGAACTCGGGGCCTCAGGCATGCCGGGCAAGCACTGAGCTGCCTCTCCAGCCCTTTTTATTTTGAGACAAAGTCCCACTCGAGTTACACAGGCTGACTTGTAACTTGTAATCTTTCTGCCTCAGCCTCCCAAGTAACTGGAATTACAGGTGTGCAACACTACACCTGGCTATGCATGATCTCAACAATGATGAAATAAGGTTCAGTAACTTAAAAATTGTCTTAAGGACTATTTTAAGACTGAGAACACTAAACAGTCTAGGGAAGTGACTCTCAAATTGTAGCACGTATTAGAGATGGTGGGATGAAGCCAGTTAAAACACAAATTGTTAGATTATTCTCTCGATCTTTGATTACATTTCTAACAAGTTACCAAATAAGATCGATCAATTCTGTTGATTAGTCCAGGGCCACACTTTGTGAAGCACTAGACTAAAAGAGAAATGTCTTGTCCAAGGTCCTAGAACCCAGGTAGTTTCACTCCAACCTGCTCTGCCCTGCCCATCACAATGTGTATTCGTGCTGGATGCTTTCCTACTTCCTATAAATAATCATTTTTATTCCCATCTCTTACTTAAACCATATTTCAGTTTGACTCCAAAGTCCATTTGTCTTTTTATTGAAGACCATAACATTTGTTAGAGCTTATTCTAAAATGGAGTATGTTATCTAAATTAACATACTGGTTTTAAACCTTCAGTAGAACAGATTATAAACATGAGAGTAAATATAAACCAGTATATAAATATGAAACATGAGTAAATATAAATATGAATTATATGAGTAAATACAAAAGAGAAGTTATGGTACTCTCTTCTACTAATGGGCATGTGGGTAGAAGACATTGTTCCCAAATTATTCTTGCATATTGAGACTCAAAATTTGCCTTCTTTCTTAGCAGTGGGTGCAATCAGTGCATGAATAGTGCAGTCAAATGTTTCACCAGATAATTGAAAGCGTTTGGGAAAAGCAATAGTTCAAGATTAGGAAACTCAGATTTCTAACCTGTGGTGAAATGAGCTTATGAAAAGTAGAAAGCTTTGTGGGGAATAAACTCACATTTCATTGTTGGTAAGAGAATCTGCTGTGTAAAATTTGTATGCTTAGAACTGTGCCTGTGGGTTTTGTACTTATTGAAACTTTGATGCTTTAATTCCTGTAGGTCCAACTCAAGAGAAAAGACAGGTGTGGGAGAGGCAGGGTATGCAAGATTTATCCGGAAGACCTGTTACCAACTATGTACCTACGAGCAGTTTATGTATTTTCTCAGATCTTGTTTCTTTAAAGAGGGACACTCTTATCAGACAACCTTGTTAAATGAGAGTGTGTAAAACTGGCCAATTCTTAAAATAATGAAACATAAGGCTTATTCCGTATTCAGCATAGAGCCTGGAACATAGTAAACATTCAGCTTTAAATTTATTTAACCAATACTTACTTACACAGTATTTACCATATGCAGGGTACTCTGCGACTTCCAGACATTAACAAATTTGATCCTCATAAGATGCCTGAGAAGTAGGCATCATCCCTATTTTACAGATGAGGAAATCTAGGCTCTAATAGACAAGTTAATTTCCCAGAGTCAAACAGCTAGTAAATGGGAAATCTGAAATCTGAACCCAGGTGGTCTGGCTCTAGTCTGTGCTCCTCCTAGTAATTAGAACACACTGCCTGTCAAACATGAAATGAAAGAGGATATTCTGCCATGGTGGAACTTGCCTATAGTCCTGACCAAGTAAACCAGGGGGGAGAAGTAGCTCATTACTGTACCTTCCCTGATGAATAGCAGGGAGAGTCTGATAGAGTATTAGGAAGTAGTAAGTGTAAGCCAAAAATTGAGATGGTGGGATAATTTTTAGTCTCAGTAACTTGTACTGTTTTGGGGAGCCCTTCTGTAAGGAGAAACTTCCGTTTCTATACCATCAAATTGTAAAATAGAACTCATGAGACAGTTACAAGTTTGTCTTTGATATGTCAGTTTTAACTTGTTTCTTTGTGTATGCCTGCCATTCTAGGTATTTTTTCTGAAGGAGAGCTGCCTCTTCCTATGCTTCCAGAATGGCTCTCCCTATCATTGTAAAATGGGGTGGACAGGAATATTCAGTGACCACACTTTCAGAGGACGACACTGTGCTAGATCTCAAACAGTTTCTCAAGACCCTTACTGGAGTGCTGCCAGAACGCCAGAAACTACTTGGACTCAAAGTAAAAGGTAATTCTCTCCCCACTGTACATCTTTTGCCTTGATAGTTATGAATTTTTCTATTTGCTATTACCTGTTTTAAATAGTCTTTACTTTTTTTTTGAGATTTCTTTGGTAGGAATTTTTCTCAAATCGATTTAGTGGTAAAAATGGTAATGTGAAAGGATACTTGAGAACACCACCAGTAAGACTACTTATTCCTCTGACAGTTGATGTTTGCTTCTTAAAGCTTTGGCATAGAAATCTCAGGTGAAGTGTCATTTATTTTCTAACATCTGCATTGTAGTGCAGTGTTTTCATTACAGCTTGGGCCTTATACTCTCCATGAATAATCTCTCCTGTTTCAAAAGTAAAGGTGATACTTAAAATTCATAGGCAGTTTCATATCCAGCTAAAAGGGATTTTTGTGTTGCCTACATTTGTCTTACCATGAAGGGTGAGTTTTGAGGAACTTTAAGTCTGTAGTTTCATTTTAGGCATTTGATCTTCAGAGCTTCACGACAAAGCATTTTCTTCACCCTGAACCACAAATTAAAACATGAATTTATGTTTAGTTAGTTAAAGGTGTTCTAGGATAGAACAAGGGAAAGCAACCCTTGTATTAGTTGTGGCTTCTTAGTATCCTAGATGTGACTAACTCAGCAGTAACAGTTTATTAATGTAAGAAAACAAAAAAAAAACAAAATCCCAAAACTACTGTGACATCTGTACCAAACCTTTTAATGTTAGGGTTTTGTATAATGGAATAGTGAAACTAGCACCTGAACTTTAGTGAGAAAACAGTCATTTGCTTGTATTGTAGGCAAACCTGCAGAAAATGATGTTAAGCTTGGAGCTCTCAAACTGAAACCAAATACTAAAATCATGATGATGGGAACTCGTGAGGAGAGCTTGGTAAATGTTTACTTTTGTTACCATTTGTCCCATTGAACATACTATGATTTATAATTTTAATTGTGGTAAAATTAATCAACCTCCATGGTCAATGAAAAAAATAAAAGCTGTACAGTGAATATGGTATTGACTCAGCAGAAAATAAATGCCCGGGAGCTTTTTAGTATGTAGTTAACTAAGTGTAGTAGTAGCCCAAATGGTCAAATTGAACATGGAAAATCTGTCCAGGGGACACATGTAATAAGTTATTAATTGGGGAAATTTTCCCACAGTTTGTGTTTGAAAGATTCTTGAATTCAAATTGTACTTCATGTGATTTTTATGCTGTGCATGTATTTGTTATGTTAAAGTTAGTATGGTAAAACTCTTTTCTGTGATTTTTATGCTGTGCATATATTTGTTATGTTGAAGGTAGTATGGTAAAACTCTTTTCCGTCTTAATAGGAAGATGTCTTAGGTCCACCTCCTGACAATGATGATGTTGTTAATGACTTTGATATTGAAGATGAAGTAGTTGAAGTAGAAAACAGGTAAGTGCCTTTTCCTTTAGAAGGAATTGTCACCTGAGAAAATGTGAGTGCTTCATTTGATTTTATTTTTTTCCATTAGGGAAGAGAACCTGTTGAAAATTTCTCGCAGAGTCAAAGAGTACAAAGTGGAAATACTGAATCCTCCCAGGGAAGGAAAAAAGCTGTTGGTACTAGATGTTGATTATACATTATTTGGTAAGTCAGTTAATAATGCCTTTGATCTTCTGTTGCCCACAACTTTTGTTTTTCTTTTGTTTGTTTTTTTTTCCAGCAACTCAGGGTTCACATGAAATATTTGAAAGCTTTTCTTATTATTACAAAAATAAATCATTCATTGTAGGAAATACAGATGAGGAAAAAAAAGTCATTTGTAATTTCAAGACCCAAAGATGACCACTCTTAATACTTTGGTGTGTATCTTCTAGTGTGTATGTATGTATGTATGTCTTTTTTTTTTCTTTTACTTAATTATAGATGGAATGTCATTGCAGTCATTAAATATTTGTTGTGAATATATATATATATATTTACACACACACACATATATACACATATATACCATACAGTATTCTACTTTGTGGATGCATCATAATTTAACTTAGTAGTTTCTGATTAACACTTAAATTTTTATGAAGAATATTTAAAGTGTAATTTTGGATAATTTATCCCTTGTTTCTGTTTAATTATATTCAGGCAGTTTCTTGAATTTGAAATTTATTGTGTCAGTTAAAGAAGAAAGATGTTCATTTCATCCTCTGCTATTGGCAAGAAGTATTTAACACTGATAACGGGAGTTTATTTACTTCTATTTCTAGTCTTTAAATATATTTCATAACTTGACGTATACTTATTTTACGATTTAATAAGTTAATTGGTCTTGTCATTTTGGTTGAGTGTGATAATATCTGCAAGGCAATGACTAAATGTGAATGTAGGAAGCCTAGTTTTTCATTTTCATAAATAATATCTAAACTTGAGAGTAATGAGAAAAAAATTTACAATATAAGCCAGAATTCTCAGTATTGCTCTTCATACTTTGAGCAAAACTGATTAATAAAAATTAGACCTCAAGCCAGGGGTGTAGCTCAGTGGCTCTGCACCTGACTGGCAAGCGGAAGGTCCTGAGTTCGATACTAGGTTGTGTGCTTTGAAAGATATATCTGTCAGCCAGTCTATTTCAGCCTGACGCAGTGTGCAACTGAATGTTTATGTTACATTTCATAATAATTTCATCGTCAATTTGTCCACAGTAACAAACTAATACTCATGTATGATCAATTCTGTTTTAGACCATAGGTCTTGTGCAGAGACTGGGGTAGAATTAATGCGGCCATATCTTCATGAATTTCTAACATCTGCATATGAAGATTATGACATTGTTATTTGGTGTAAGCTATATATATATTTTTAGATTTCCATGTAAATAAAGTTGTTCCTTATATTCTGCTGTATAAAACATGAATTAAAAAGACTTAAATATATTTTCTTTTTTTAAGGAAAATTGACTTTCTTGCATGTGTATAAATATACTGATATTTGTCACGTAACACTGAGGTAGTTTTAGTATAGGACAAAAATAGATTATGGTGTCAGAATGAAAATGGCCTTATTTTCTTAATGTCCTAACTTAGTAGAAATTTTTCTGATCTTTACTGTGGAATCCTTGATACCTCAAGATATTGTTGTTTTCTTTCTTCCTCACTCCAGTTTCAAAACACTTGGAGAAAGATAAGTTTTTTTAAAACCACAGTGATGTAACTCTACAAAAATAAAGGGCAATATAAGTCACATAAGGAAAATTAATATATAGACTGAAGCAGTGTTACTCAAATTGTGCTCTGTGGGTCACTCTAAGAATTTATAGGTCTGTGATAAGATAATGCTTGTTCTCCAAAATGTAAATCTACCGTATTACTGAGGGCACCATTTAGTTCAGTTGATGTTTGTTTTTACCAAGAGTTTCTTGAAGAATGAAGAAATGTATTGATTTACATTCCATGTTTGTACAAACATTTAAAGTTGCTTCTTGACAATGTCGTAAACAGAGTTGCATTCTTATTGTGAATTAAATAAAATACCATCCATTAAAGGTGCTGTACTCTATTTAGTTGTATGAGGTCTTGATGAGAAGCCAGATAGTAGGTAACAGTCTGTAAATTTCCTTTGTAATTACCCTTATGAGTATTTTTATTGTCCAGTGATAATAGAAGTTCACAGCTGTTAAGATTAAAAGCATGTTAAAATTTTGATAATTTTATCTGAGCCTTGTGGTGCATGTTTGTAATCCCACTTGGGAGGCCCAGACAGGAGGATCAAGTTCTAGGCCAGCCTGGGCTAATTAGTGAGTTCAAGGCCAGCCTGAACTACAAAGTAAGAGCTTGTCAAAAACAAAATATTGATAGTTTTCTGGTTTAATATGATAAGAGGGAGGAAGCTCCCTGCTTAGCAGATTTTTGTCCTGTAACTGATGTCTGAGAGGACATTTGAGAAAGAGTTTATCTTAAAAGTTTAGAGAACCTTTAAATATATTTAAATAAGTTATTTTTCTAAATTATGGTATTTTGTGGCAGTATGTTGACAAGGGCACTTCATTTGGGAACTAAATACAGTAGGATTTTAGTTCTGGCTTTGTCTTTACTATGTGACATTGACAGGTCACTTACTCTGTCAGAACCCTAGCTTCCTCACTTAAACATAATGATAAACCCAAAATACAAATAAAGATGAAAATAAAGACTAGTAGGAAATGTGATGTAGACTTTGTAGAGATGGGAAGGGAATCTGGGGAAGAGAGAGAGGAGGGTAGGAGGAAGGGGAAGTAAAAATGATTGAGATACAATATGTACCAGTTCCTCAAGATGAATGTGGTTATGTATCTCCAAGCTATACCACCATTAAAAAAATAATCAGTATTGCAACTAGTTCCTTATCTGACTTCTAGTAGTTAATAATGAGAAACTGTTAGTTGAGTCTCTTTCATCTGGGAATTGTAGACACAGAATAGATAGTAAATTGAAAAAAATCTTTCCCTCTTTTGTTATCTCTTTTGATTGTAGATAACAGTCTCTAAAATTTTTGTTCAGTTGATCAGTTTTGCATGTCAAGGTAATTCTCTGGCTTTTCATGTGTATGTGTTAATATTTTTTTCTTGAGAACTCAGGTTTCCCCTTTCACCTTTACATCTATATGCATACACATACTTTAAATAGTTGAAATACTTTTTCCATCTTCTTAAACACTTTTCCTGTTAGTATCTATATAGTTTAGTCCAGTAATTGGGACCAGGAGAGCACACAGAGATGGTTAGAAATTTAGTATCAACAGCTGCAAAACTGGTCATTGTCCGTCAGTGAGCAGATACGCAACACAAGTATACTTTGTACATTTGTCTCTTTTTTTGTTATAAGCTGCTTCATTCAGTGAGCATTAAGTGTACTACACCTGACAAATGCAGATTTTCATTGGACCTCGCTAATCTTCAGCATAAACTTTTGACACCTAACCTTAATGTGCTTATATTGACATACATACACACACATGTATAGATATATGCATTTCCTGAAATTAGGACCATGGAAGAAAGTTAAAATCCAGACATCTCAAATTTAAGTTTGGAATTGGTAGAAAATAGTGGCAGGGCTGTTTTTAAAAGGGAGTTTGGGTCTTACCAGTTTCCTAGGTTCAGAGTTCTTTTGGGTGCTGGTTACTTGTATCTTGTAGGTAAAAGTTGTTTAAGCTTTTTCTATCCAGTAGACAAAATTTATTTTTTAATATTTATAAGAAGATTACCATAAATATAGTAAGGATATTATTTGTGATACACTTGCTTTGCTTAGAAAAATTTATTTTTAAGGATTTTAAAAGTAAAATTTAAACTTTTCATATGTATTGTATATTCCTCATATTTTAGCTGCAACAAATATGAAGTGGATTGAAGCTAAAATGAAAGTAAGTGTTAGAAACAGCCATTTTTAAATGATTTGAAAGTTCGAAACTAAATCAATTTCATTCTTACCAGTGGACATTTAGAAGATAAATAAATGCAGATATCAGGAGTAGAAATGTCTTAAAAGTCTGTGTCATGGTGGTTTGTAATGAGTACCTAAGCTGTTTTCAAGAAAAAGTAGAGCTAGACTTTCCCTTTTTTTCCTCTCCATTTTACAGTAACACTTCCTTTGTTTCTGGTTTATTTTCCCTGGACCACCATTTGTTGATTTAACTAAGTGAAATTAAAACACTTGGTAGTTGTTTAGTAAGATGAATGCCACTGGTATAGAAAGTTGACATTTTTGGGAAATTGCGTCTGGAATATTAAATCTTTGAATTTTCCATATTATTATATTTTAACCTCATTAACACTTATGTTTACAGGAGCTGGGAGTGAGTACAAATGCAAATTATAAGATTACCTTCATGTTGGACAGTGCTGCTATGATAACAGTACATACCCCAAGGAGAGGACTGATAGATGTAAGAACTTGTTTTACTTTTATTTAAAGACATGTTCATTTTCTAGTGTACTTTTTGTGTTTATACTGATGGAATAAATTACAGAGTTTAGAAATCCATCTGAGTGGATAGTAAAGTGACAGTTTTGATGTTAAAATGAGTATTGTCATATAATTTGACATAGAAAAATGAATTTAAGTTTAAAAGATGTAAATTTTAATGAAGCAGGACTGTCAAGAAAGCAACTGGTGGTCAAGGATAATTGTTTTGTGATGATGACAGCACAGTTTTGCCTGAGAGTAGGTGAGAAAAATACTGAATATCATCAAGGAAGGTACTAGAAGCAAACCAAAACATACTTACTTTGCCCTGTATGAAAATGCTAATAAAAACAGGTGCTTCATAATACGTGTGCTTTGGGGTGATGTTTGTGTAGCCCTATCGAATAGGAACAAGAGCCATCCCAGAAAAGGATTGGGCTAAAAGATTAGGGGTTTTCACTTTGTTTGCTCCCCAAGTAACTATTTGTAGGCTTGAAAACCAACTATCTGCACAGCTGCGAGAGGCACTGTTGGTAATAAAGAGACGAGTGAAATACAGTCCCTGCCTTTTGGAAGCACACAAGCAGCAACTGTGGAGAACTTAGCGTACTCGAAAAGCTTAGGTCAAAAAGACAGTATTAACGTCATGAAATTTATAAACAGTGATTTAAGTGCATGGAGATTCGTTCATAAAAGAAATAATGCATACATCGGGAAAATATACTTTATTACTTACTAAAGTAATATATTTCCAAAATCTAAACATCAAAAAGAAGTTTAGACAGTGTTAAGCATAGCAATGTTTGGAATAGTGAAAAATTACAGTAATAATCTTCAGTTTCCAGGGATAGGGAATTAGATGTATAAATTGTAGTTACCCTTAGAATAAAATGCGTCATTTGGTATAGATGATAGCTATGTTTTAAAAATTTTATAATTTTCATGACAGTGAAAAGTAGTTTAGATAAGAATGTCTACAAGCTGTTAGAACATGGTTTGGTCCAGGATTTCCTACTTTAACGAAGAATCTGTGAACTCTCCGAAGCTACTGTTTAATCAAAAAGCCTGGGATAAATACATCAAAATACCTAGTCATTTTTGGTGCTGACTAGATTATAAGTGATTCAAAATTTTCCTTTGTGCTTTTCTGTATTTTAAAATTATTCTGAGAGGGCCGGGGGTTTAGCTCAGTGGTTCTGGCATCTGCTGCGCAAGCACAAGATCCTAAGTTCAATCCCTGGTACCAAAAAAAAAAAAAAAAAAGAGTGAAAATTATTCTGAGAAATCAGTACTTCAGGTTTTGAGATAAAAGAGTGCTTGACCTAATTACCAAATGACAGCATTTTTTAAGAGGATACAGAACTTCTAATCATAGGTGTCAAAGACTGATCTCTGAGACTCGTTAGCTAAAAAAACACTCAACAGTCGGGCTTACTGTGTCAGTTCTGATGTATTTGCCTTCAAAATAATTGGCAATTTTTTTTCTAGTAGCAAATAGTGAAAAAATACAGGCAGTAAAATTTTAGTAAAATGAGGACATTGAGAAGGAATAAGTCCCCTTCATATTAAAATAAATTATAGAAAAGAGAAAAATAAAAATGACAACCTTTGTCAAAATTTATTGCCATTTCTTCTCATATACTTATTATCATAAATGAAATTCGTGCCTTCAGCAAAAAGTAATTTTCTTTAAAAATTTTATTGATTTAGAAAAGTTTCTGAGCTTATAATATAGTGACACAATTCACAAAATCATAATGAAAATTTCATCCCAGTTGGGCCCCTCAGCCATTTATTATCCATATAAGGAAGTATTGTTACTTCTTGTGTGGTCTCACAGAAACTTAACACAAGCACCAATAAAAGCAGCTATATAAGGAATCATCTCTTTGAAGCCTTGACTTAAGAATTCTGAAATAAGAGCAGGAATTTACAAATTATGGTGCTGTTGAAGATAAGTTATCAAATGCTCTAGAAAATAGAAGCTTGGGCCATTAAATTTGAGACAAAATCAGTTTCTTCTCAGTAAAATAGTTAAAGTACCAAAAGAGCCAGGGACATTTTCCCTCACTATGTTGTTTGGTTTTGTAAATAGATCCGCTGTAACTCTTAAGCTCTGAGTGGATGTTCCCTAGCCCAGGAAGTCACGTGACTGCTTAGCAGACATTAAAAAATGGCTTTAGATCTTTTTAAAACTAAATAACTTCTCTTGTCCCATAATCTTCATGTTAAAATTATAGAAAGTCTTAGAATGTGTTTAGTTCAATTACAACATGAACAGACTTTTCAGAAATGTAAACATTGCAAGTTGACATCATGCTTTGAAAGTGTGCGGTCCAGGATCAGTTCACATAGTCATCAGTGTCTTAGAGGAAGGGAACTCTGGCTTTGTTCTACCATTTTGTCGTAGCTCTGCTTTTAAGAAAGGATTAACCATTGATAAAATTGGACTTAAATCTAAACTTTTATTCTAAGGTAAAGCCTCTTGGTGTTATTTGGGGAAAGTTTTCTGAGTTCTACAGCAAGAAAAACACCATTATGTTTGATGACATAGGAAGAAATTTTCTAATGAACCCACAGAATGGACTAAAGGTAAGCCATACCTTTATATGCTTTTGTCATCTGGACTTTGTGGTAGAACTTTCAGCACTGTTAAATTTCATAAAAAAGCTCAGTGGTGCCACCACCTGCCTCGCAAGCACAAGGTCCTGAGTTTGATCCCTGGTACCAAAAAAAGAAAAAAGAAAAAGAAAATGCAGTCGAGTGCCATTGCATAATTGTGTTTTTAGTCATTGATTGACCACCTGTCTGAGGGTGGTTCCATAAGATTATATTGAAACTAAAAACAATGCCTTTCTCTTAGTATTTTTACTGTATCTGTCTTTGTTTAGATTTATACTGACCATTGTGTTACAGTTGCCTACAGTATTCAGTATAGTAACACGCTGTACAGGTTTATAGCCTAGGAGCAATAAACTGTACAATAAAGCCTTGGCCTGCAGTCGGCTGTAAATCTAAGTTTGTATTAGGGTGCTCTGTGCTTTGTAGTATTCAAACAGTGGTGAACTTGCTTAAGGACAAGTTTCCTTGTTATTAAGTGACACATAGTCACAGGTAAGAAAAATTTAAGTATTTAGAGAAGTTCATATGAATGTGAACAGTCTGACTTCTACATTGATATCTCTTTAGCCAATACATCCAAGTGTTTTTTTTTTTAATTATCTGTTTATTTATTTTGGTTGCGACAGGGTCTTGCTATGTAGTTCAGACTGGTCTCCAACTCAAAGCGAGCGATCTTCCTGGCTTGCTTCCCAAGTTCTGAGTTTACAGGTGTCCACCTCCTATAGGCAGCCCCAAGTGTTTTATTTTTAGTTAGATTTGTGGGAGCACCCTGAGCTTACTGAGTTTTAGCATCAGAAGTGAAATCATTAGATGCTTTATAAGGAATACAAATCTTATAATTTCTGGTGTTCTGGTTAACTGGATAGCTGGAACTAATGGTGTTTGTTTTTCTTCTTAAACTGAAACTTAAGAGGTTTTCAAAATTCATATGGGCCAAGTACAAATTCTAAAACTGTAAAATGTCAGCGCTAGAAGGAACCTCAGTCATCTTGTCTGCTTTCCTAACTTTAGAAACAGACAGAGGGTGAGAAATTCATGACTGCCCAAAATCATGTATGTAAGGTTAATAACACAGTTTGGGTTAGAGTCTAAGTGACTTGCTTCCTGGTTCAGTGATGATCTTGGCATCCAGTCACATGAAACTTGTGGAGCTACGATAGTGACATTCTAAACCTGGTAGCAGCATCATATTGGGAAGAGATAAACTTGAAAATTAAAAATTTCTGGTACCCATGGTTGGTTATATGTTGGGACAATACAAAAATGGAAAAGATATTTCTATATCATAATACTAGTGTGAATGGAGCCTCCATTTGAAGTGAAAATCTTAATGCTAAAATATTTTAGTTTCAGTCCTGAACTTTTCTGCCAGTTAAGTTCTTTGGTAGTTTTAAAAGACAAGAGAAAAACTTTAAGTTCATTTTTGAGGACTTACAGATTGATTTGGTCTTTAATGTATGGCGAGTATAATTTAAGGGACAAAATGCTAATTTAGGTCCTGATTTGCTACAAATATAAAAGCTTGTTGACTTAGAGGGAAAATGGTTATTTTACCCTAGCAAAATGTTTTCTGTTGGAGGCTTTGGGAGAAGTGGCTTTCCTGTGTGTAATTCACCAGGTTGAGGGTACAGAAAGGTACACTTGAGTCTGGACAAGAGATTTGATTGACTATTGCCAAATTTTTATGAAACTCATTGCTATTACCTGTTCGTGCAAGGAGGGGTGATAATGGTGTTTAAGAAGTGATCTTTGTGGAAACTTTTAGCTTTTAAAAATGTACAATTTTTTTTTATGTGTTTAGAAGACACTTTATGTTCCCAGCCAATATTTGGATCCTATTCATCTCTCTTACTGCAGGGAGAGATGATGTTAAACATTTTTAATTCTTTATGTTACTTTACAGCAGGGTTTTTAAAACACTGGATTACTCAGATTCACTGAAGGAATTCCTAAAAATACATAGTTCCCACCCTCAAAAATGCCAATCAGGAAGTACTTTTAAGACATGCAGGTGTGATCTCTTTCATATGTCCTTTTGAGAACCTCTTTTAAGGTAATTATTGATGATCTGCCCACATTGGCATTGAAGTTTTGAAGTTGAGGAATATTCTTAAATACTGTGCTTTGTTATCACAGTTTTATAATATACTTAGGAATTTCAAAAAAGATTCATGCAAATTTGGCTAAAAATAAGTATTTTTTAAATAGTTAACTTATAGGCTTGCCGCCTTAAGATTTGAGATATGTTGTAAGGGATTGTGAATATGAATATAAAAATGAACTAAAAATGTGGATGTTGGAATTATGGGTAAAGCAATTGGTGTGAAAGCTTCATTTTTGTTATCTATATAAGGAAATCATGATATAAGAGAATTCAGCTAATCTCAACAGTGTTAAGTTTCTAAAATATGTTTCTTTGACATGAAACAAATTGATTATACATGTTGCCTGCCCTGCTGGTTAGCAGGTGGTTAGATGGGTGGTAAAAATGTTACACTGGGCAATGTTTATGCTGAAACAGTGCCAGGTAAAATCCATTTTTTTGCCCTTAATTAGTTTATTTTATCCTGTCTGAAACGGAATCATTGGAATCAGTTTTGTTGCCTAATAATGCTTAAGACCAAATGTTTAGAATGTAAAAATAGCTCAGCGGGGCCTTGGGTTGAAAATCTTTTATACCAGCCATGGAACTTGTACTTTCTCTTTCTGTTCTGAATCCCTTCCTGCTCTTTAAGCATAAAAAAATCTCTTTAATGTATTGTATCTTAATAGTTTAAAAGTGAACACATTGCTTTTACATTCTTCAGGAGTTGAAGGAAGGTATACTTTAGCACTTCCCCATGTCACCCAGGAATGTGCAGAACCCCGTTTCCCTGTGTCATACATCACACCATGCTTCTGTTCACTCCCAGCCCTGCGCCTAAGCAGGGTGCAGGACAGCACCTTCTGGATCCCCACAGTCGCTGCTGCTGCTGCTGGGAAATAACATTGTCTGTGATGCTTTCCCTAAGGAAAGTCTCCCACAAGTCCTTGCATCTGTTTGGACTTGTTCTGCTGGCCTGCCTCAGGTTCCCCCAGGCAGCAGGGGAGTTCAGCTGACAGTTGTGAAGATGTCTATCCAGATGTTTTGGTTTTTTTGTTTGTTTGTTTTGTTTTTGTACCGGGGATTGAACTCGGGTCCTTGCACTTTCGAGGCAGGCGGCGGAACCACTGAGCTAAATCCCTGGCTTGTATCCAGGTGTTTAATGAGAGCAGAACATTTGGGAAATTTTTCTTCTATCCACTTAAGGATGGTAGTCTGCTGTTCTGGTGACAGAAGAAAAGTATATTTAAAACCTCTACTCTTGATAGATATAGTAGTGAACTCCTTTGAGCTCAGTGTTCCTGCTTTTTAGTAAGTGGCAGTGATTAAATGTTACCTGTCTTTTGATGTTTTGTGGTGCTGGGGTCCAATCCAGGTCTTCAGGCATCCTAGGCAAGCACTCTACCACTGAGCTACATTCCTAGCATTACTGTGTACAGTAATTGATTGTTTCCGTAAAGAATAAGAATAAATTAGTACTTTACTAAGTATGACTTTTCAATTCTTACATCATGTGTGCTTGAGGAGAATGTGTATTTTTGTTTGTTTTGAGATAGCCTCTCACAGTCCTCCTGCCTCAGCCTCCAGAGTACTGGGAATAGAAGGATGAACCACTACACAGCTGTGTGACTTTTTTGTAGTTTTGGGGGGTTTTTTTTTTTTTGGTATCAGGGATTGAACTCGGGTCCTTCTTGCAAGACAGGCGGCAGAACCACTGAGCTAAATCCTTGGCCTCCTTGTTGTTTTGGTTTTTGATAGTGCTGGGGCTTGTACCCAGGCTCTACCACAGAGCTACATGCCCAGCCCTCTGTGTGTGTGTGTTAAAGAGATGAAACTCAAAAGAAAAAAATATATTTATATCAAAGTAGAAACTGGATGGGAAATAGGGAGAAGTTCTAAATCCCCAAAATGTCTATTCCATTGTTTCAAAAATATTTTATAATGCATGTTGTTTCATTTATGCTACTAGTTTCTTTGTTCATTGAGAAGAAAGTTTTGTCCTTTTGTTTGTTTCTTATTTGTAGGTCTTTTTTTTGTCTGTGACTTGTACTCTGAGTAATATTTTGACCATTCTTTTAAGATCATGATACCAATACAAAATACTACCTTTTGTTATTCTCTAGTTGTTTTGTTGTGAAATTTTGTTTTATTTTTTCATAGAAGAGTGCCTTTTTATATTTTTAATTAATATCTACTTGTATTATAGTAAAATAAAAATATTTTTTAAAAGACAATTCATAACTGAAAAATTTGAATTATATGCTACATAGTACTATATAGTACAGTGAATCCTATGTATGCTTCATCTAAGTAGCTTATAAATTCATGGATAATTTTGTTTGCTCTGTCCCTTCTTCTGTCTCCTGAATATCTGAAAGCAAATCCCAGACATATCATTTCATTTAAAATTAATTAAAAAATTTGAAAGACTATCTTAAATTGTATGAAGATATTTGAGTTGATGTCTTTAGAAGAAAAGCAACACTCTTTATTGAGGTGCTAACATAAAATTTACTGTTTAACAAACTTGTAAAGATAACTCATGTAACTGCCACCCAGGTCATCATATACAGAATCCTATACTTTCAGTCTCCCCACTGTTCTGATGTATAGTTTGAAGTAATGCTTCTTCAGAAATTCTTTCATTATAAGGTATATCAACCTTAAAAATTTGTAAAATGTGAGAAACTTGCATAATTAAATGATTTCTATGGAAACTTGTATAATTAAATGATTTCTGTGGAAATTTAATGACAGAAAAATGCTTATGATTATACATGGCAGAAAACAGGCAATTTATGAATATGTATAATGATATTTCAGGTATGTAAAAATTTCATGGAAAATTTCTAACATGAGAATTACCATTTAAAATTTGTCTTACTTTCCAATTAGATCAATCTTGTATTTGGTTTAATTTTTTTTATAACTGAAATAATATAAATGAAATTAATTAGTAAAAAGCACCTAAAGTGGTAGATGGGAAAAAAGTGTAAACAGTTTTGCAAAGTAGAGTAACCATGTAGGGTTTCAAGTGCTGTGAGAAAACTGGTAGCTTCAGTTTCAGACTGAAAGGATGTAGATAAAGTAGGTAGAAGAACTCTTAATTTGTTCTATAAACGTTTTATCTGACTTTCTGTTCACTGTACTTAGGCTAATATAAAAGTAATTTTTAGTATTGATGTCTTTGGTGATATTTTAGCCTTAAGGGTTTTTTAGTTTTCCTTATCACGCTGTGAAATTTTGTTTCCGAATAGATAAGGCCTTTTATGAAAGCACACCTAAATCGTGATAAAGACAAAGAACTTTTAAAATTAACTCAGTACCTCAAAGAGATAGCAAAATTAGATGACTTTTTGGAGCTAAATCACAAATACTGGGAAAGGTAAGTGCTTGTTGCTTTTTAGTTTCTCTGTACACTAATGAGGGAAAACATTTAGTGACCCTAGAATATATATGTCTTTTATTTAAAATGGTAAGTTCTAGAAATATTTTCCAATTCATTGACATACCACTGCACCTCAAAACTATTTTCCCCTTTTGTCTTAACCTCTAACTTGTTCATAAATCAACATCTCATAAGCTCTTTAATATTTCTAGTACAGAAGACTTGAGAGATGCGTTCACATTTATGATGCTACCTGAAAATTATTATTATTATTTTTTTTGGTACCGGGGATCGAACTCGGGACCTTGTGCTTGCGAGGCAGGCACTGGAACCACTGAGCTAAATCCCCAGCCCCCTGAAAATTATTTTGTGACATCAGTTAGCCCACTCCCCTGTGAATCACATGGCAATTTAACCCATATTCTTATACTTTAAAATAAAATCAGGATAGACTATGTTAAAATTTTTCTGAATAGTGTTAAAAATTCCAAAGACTTCTGTTTGTAGCAGAATACTTTATTCCACTGAACAAACATCTAACTCAAGATTTTCTTTTCCAAAGATAACCGTTATTAATTATCATCTTGCTGTCTAATCCTTCAGTCTTTTTTTCTAAGTAAAGAGATATGTATAAATCCAATATAGATCGCATAAAAACCTCTGGTGAAATAGAAGGGATTACTGTAGTATGCAAGAAATGGTTTGGAATTAGATCTTCAAAGGTTGAGTTCCAGGTTCTGCTGCCTGCCTCGTAAGCACAAGGTCCTGAGTTCGATCCCTGGTACCAAAAAAAAACAAACAAAAAAACAAGCTTCTAAAGGTTGAGTTCCAATAATATAGCAACAAAGGAGACTGTATATTAACACTTTGGCGTTTCAGCTCACTTTGCCACATAGCTCCTTAATTACAGTCTCTCAATCCTACTTGGAAGGTAAAGCATCCTTTTTTTCTTTTTTTGTTCCCTATCTTCAAATTGCAGATGATATAACTGAGTCATAGAGATAAATGCTTAGCACACTGCCACAAAGTAAACAACACCATCAAACATTGAATTTTCTGATTTTAGGAAACCTTTCCCTACTTCTACACTGCTAATTATAGTAGTTCATAAGTGTGAGAAATGGAGATAAATTTTAAAATTTTGTGTTAGATTCCTATTAAATAATATGAATAAAATGTTTGTTTAGTGAATTAATGTCTTTGTATCTTTTTGATCTCCTGATCAGATTTCTCTAGTATCTTTGGGCTATTATCTTTATGCAAGAAAAATAGGATCTTTAAGTGGAATTTGAGTTATTTATAAGTTACAAGACTAGTTAACATTGACTCTCAGATTTGAAAGTAGGCCATATAGAATGACAGTTAATGAATGCAGCCTCTAGAGCCTTAAATTGGGCAAATTGGTTAACGTCTGTGTGCCCGTGAAACAGGAATAACGTCTAGCAGAAACTCTTCAAGAAGCTGTTGAGGGGTACTTTACAGTGCATGGTACATAGACAGTGAACAGATGTTAGTGAATGTGAACAGTACTCATCTTGAAAGGTTTTATCATTTAAATAAACCTTTGGAAGAAGAGTTATAGTATTTCCATGAATTTAACATGCTATAGCTCTGACATGTTTACTTCTTGCAGGTATCTCTCAAAGAAGCAAGGACAGTAGTTACAAGTTATCCTGGCAGTTATTGAAGATATTTGAGATCTATGATCTTTTTGCTTTTATGCTAGAAATCACGATAGTGCTGGACACTGAAGCAAATACCAGACTGCTTATTCTTGGTCTTCCAGTTTTTGTAAATTTAATTTTATATTTTTTGAAGATCATAGCAATATGCTTTTTAAAAAATCCTTTTCCCCCTATATGAATATACTGTTATTCTTGAAAAATATTTTCTCTGGCATTGATTACAGAGGTGTTTTTCCACCAAAAAAAAGGAAGAAAACATGGAGAAAAATGTTTACTCACCAGTGTCATTTTATGACTTTAGAAACAAGTTATGTCTTGTGTTTTTGTCTCATGTTATCAACTCCCTAAGTCTAAAACCAAACCCATCTTGAAATGGGTTTTTCCCTTTAAAGCAAACAAACAAGTTTTTGAGTAAAGAACTTAGTTTGTTACGCTTAAAATTACCAATATTTTTTATTCCTTTGGCACAGACAAAATTTCTCTACTCTAGTTCTGTGAATTCTGAGCTGTCTCAGCTTGATCTCTGTGTGTGTGTGTGCATGTGTCAGTGTTCTTTAAGTAAAACCAGCGAACGCCAGTTGTGATACAGCGATGTTACAGTATGAGAAATAAAAAACAGAAGACCGAGGAATAATAAAAGGAACAAGAGTGCGCTTCTCTTTGATGGCTAGTTAGAAGCACTTTTGTCTAAAACTTGACACAAAAGCAATTAAAGGCAATAAATTTTAAAATGAGACATAGCACCAGTTCAACCCTAAAAAGCATGAACAAAGTGATTTTTGTTCTTTTCCAGCTATATCTTAAGTGCTAACGCCGTGTGTCAGTGAAAACATTTAGCCATAAGATTAAAAATACTATATATTATTTGCAATGCTTACGCCTGCAGATATGTAATGTGACCCACAGTTTTGTGTTGACAGTATTGCTTTCTACAGTTGTTCTATTTGAAAGGAATCGATCCTTCTAAATAAACATGGTGTATATTGTTCTTACAGGACTATTTCAGTGGTGTAAATAATAAATATCTTTTCTTACAACGTTGGCTATCTGTCCTGTATTACTCCAGTTATTTTACTTCTTTGTTGAATCACAAGCAAACATTGGATTCAGACAGGGACCTCTTAAAAACTTTTAAATGGTTTGGTGTTAAAAGTGTATTTCATTATGTATTCAGAATTGTATTTAGCAGCTGATTAGATACGTTAAAGTACTTAATTCTAATAAGTACCCTGATGTTAGGAATATGTAGTATTTTCTTTCTGAAAGGTAGTTATAAGCATTAGGAATTTGATTTTGTTTGTTTATAGACAGACAGGATTTCACTATGTAACCCAGGGTGGCCTGAACTCGTTTATAGATCAGGCTTGGCTCAAACTTGTCCTCCTACCTCAGTCTCCTGAGTGCTGGGATTACAGGTATCCACTGTGCCTGGCAGAGAACTCCTCAGTAATTAATCTGATTCAATTAAAATGTGTTTTTTAATTATAAGGCTAAATTTTCTTAAGATATAACAAAATTTTTTATTCACTTCATTGGTACATTTTTCTACTGTGTAAGTTTATTATCCCAAAGTAGACACAGAAAGGGGGCCTCATCTTTTTCAGTGAACTGAGCACTTTATTAATATAGGTCAAGAATTAACAGATACTTCCAAATTGATATAAACTAAAATAAAAAGTTTAGCAACCCCAGAAAGCAAAGTAGGATTTTATAAAACATTTCCTGCCATTAGGTGGTGCCCAAATCAAAGTTTATTTTTTAGTATACTTAATGAAGCCGCTGTGGAAGAACAGTCATTCTTGGCTTATTGAGTCACATGTGGTATGTGTGATTTCTGAGTAATTCTTTAATAGAGTATGGGAATGTTGATAGATCTCTTGTCTCATAACTTACTATACATGTATGTATATATTAAATTATTAAATCTTTAATTCAGAGGTAAGTTTGAGATCTAGGAGCCCTTCAGAGTCATGTTGTGTAAATTAGTTACTGAACTGGGTTATTTCTAGCAGCCATTCAGGTTGATAAAGAATAAATAAGCTACTATAGTAAGCCACTGATACATTCATGTGAAGTAAGTTGTTTTTTAAGGGGAAGAGAGAACAGCTCAGGAATAACTGGCAAAAACGGATATGCAAAAAATAATTTAGGTTATTGTTTGGTTTTTAAATTACAATTAGTTAAAATAGCAATAAAATATGAAGTGAATAAACCTGTTGAGAATTCTTATCCCAAGTAACCAGTGGGTAGATTAGGAGTTTCCACTGAAGTATTTATATGTCAAAACTCATTAAACTTTTTAGTTGGTAGCTGAATCTAAAGATTAAATCCATAGCTACTTGTGTAAGAAGGAAGTTTTAAAACACTTGACGCTATGTGTGTCTTGGTGGGAATGCTGAATATTTAGAACTTTAAGAGAGCTCCTCAAAGACTTCCGACAAAGGGTTGTATTATAAATTGGGGCAAGTCCTGTGGGCTGCATTGCTGACCCTTTGCATTTTTTGAGACAGTCTTACCAAGCTGCCCAGGCAGGCCTTGCACTTGTGATCCTTCTCCCTCAGCCTTCTAGAGGAATTACAGGCCTGTGCCACTAGGCTTGGGTGAAAGTAAGCCTTAAGTATTCCACACTGATAGCCCGCCCCTCCCTTTTAAAAGCTATTTAGAAGTCAGCAAGGACTTCTTAAATGCTAGCGTCAAGATGTTCCCTGATATGCACTGTTACTAAAACATTGATTTCCTTCTGCAAAGCTCTAAAAGTTGAACCTATGCCATGCCTTTGAAGACTAAATGTAAAGATCAAGCCTTACAAATACCGAAACTCGGAGCCTGGGATTTAGCGCAGTGGCACCGTGCCTGCCTCACAAGCACAAGGTTCTGAGTTCAATCCCAGTTACCACAAAAAACCAAAACACAATTGCCAAAAACCAGAGTACTAAGCATCAGTGATGTTTCCATGAATCAACATGACTAAAATGAATATGTTAAATCGAGTAAGTACGTAATTTGGCACCGTAAAGACCACAATGGACTTCAGGTATATACAGCTTATTAAAGTGGCATAGTGAATTTCTAGTTAAATACAAATCTTTTCCTACTGTTTCCCACACTTTTATTGATTGCTATCATTTCTTGTTTCATAATCTGTAAGGATAACCACTTATTCCCAACTAAGGCTTTAAGAAGAAAATGCAAATGATTTGCTAGAAAAATACTTGGCTAGAATCCCTTTTTACTGGCAGTAGGACCTTGAGCAGGTAGCTTCAACTGAACTTTGGCTTCTTCCTGCTTAGAAAAGTACTTTTTAAAAAAAAAGTACCTGAGCTGTCTTTGCTACAGACTGTTGCAAAAGCCAAATGAGACTGTGTATGAAAGTGCTTTGAAACAGCTGACTTATGTGAATGTCAGATGTTACTAAAAGTAGTTCAGAGCATGCAGCTATCATTAAGCTATATTTTTGAATTTGTAATTTCCAAGAGTAGAATATTAAAAGGAAAAAAAAATTTGGTACGAGGGATTGAACCCAGGGCCTTTTACATGCTAGTGGGCAGTTCTGTATCACTGAGCTACATCCCCAGGCCAGGAAAACTTTTTCACTGAAGTATATACATTATAAATATTACCTTGCTTTTCAGAGTTCAAAGTAGAAAAGGAACATAGAAGGAGGAAATACCTCTTAACGGCCCAGATCTTTTTGTAGGTATCCAAATACTTTGCAGAATTGTATTCTGCAAATACTGTTTAGTAATGGTCTAATTTGGAAAAACAGCTCTCCCTCCTCCCTGTTCTAAAGCAGATATGATTAAAACTTCAGCATTATAAATACATTTACAGCCATTATAATATATAATAGAATATTAACATTTTATTGTAACTGGAAACCAGCTGTTCAGATAGAAGCTTGCAAACTTTGTTGTGCCATGTAAAAATGTAAAAATAAAAACAGGTTTTTACCCCACAAAAGCCTTTTTTAAAAAAAAATAAGGTAAATGTCAGCTTTGTTCCTGACAAGCTTGACAGAATAAACTGCAGAAACCAAGCAGCATTTTACATACAGTTTTTAGTACCTTCAGTATCTGAGGCACCCTTCTTCAGGAGTAAACACAAGATTGTCTAGCCTCACAGAGCTTATAGATGAGTGACAAATAGAATTTTAAATAGAAGTGCTAAAAACAACAGGACAGAAAGTGATTGCTCTGGTGCCATTTTAGGGTGATAATTCACAATAACATGCATGACAGTGGGAAGAAGGACATATTAGTCTATTTCTCCTTAGTATAATCAAACACCTGAGGTAGGCTGCTTATAAAAAATTAAGAGGTTCGTTTAGCTCAGTTTGGGAGGCTAAAATCCAAACAGCATGGTACAAGATCTGGCAAGGTCCGCTTTGGCTGCATCACTTCATGGCAGATGGCAATGGTGGATCACTTGAGAGAAGGAAAGGTCATATTGCCCAATAGGAAGCCAAAAAGAGACTGGGATCCCACAGTCCTTCCAAGAGCACACCTCCAATTGACTTAAGGCCCTTCTACTAAGCCCCACCTCTTAAAGGGCCCACTTCCCAACCTCACTACAATGAGTCTAAACTTCCAATACTATATGAATCTTCAGGGGACACACTTAAACTATATCCAAACCATCGCAGTGGCATTGAGCTGAGATCTGAGCCATTGTTCAAAAGATTATGGAGATTACTGTAGGCAGAGCTAAGAGAAAATGCAATATCTTGACAGGAGCAAACTGGCAGATGCAGGTATTAACAGAAGGTAATTGATAGCCTGGTGGGAAATGAGGTTGGAGAGAGAGGTAGATACGTCCATAGGAAAGATAGAATTTTGCAGGTCACAGTGAGTTGTCTGGTGAATTCTAACTGAAATGGAAGGAACCAGTAGAGGGTTTTAAATGTGGAAATGATAATATAATTTTTAGTAATCTTACTGAGATAGAATTACATACCATAAAACTCACCCATCTGAAGTGTGCAGTTTAATGAGTTTTTAAAGGATCATTCTGGCTTTTGTGTGGAGAATAGATTGTAGAGGAGCAAAGGCAGAAAGGATAAGATGATGAGGCTGTTGACATCATCCAGAATGAAAAGTTTCCAGTGTGACCACAGGAAAGCTTGCATTCCTTTCCTTCATTTGCATCATTTACCAACTACTTATTAATGTACTAGATATCATGCAAGATGCCAGATCTTCAGTGGTAAGACAGATGTGATCCTTCCCCTATAGGAGCTGGTAGACATGTAAATGTGCACCACAAGTAGTCCTCTCAGCTTCCTCATTCAATAAGAGATTGGATTTAAAGGATATAAAAACTTAGCATATCAAAATCAACATACGAAAAGCTTTTCTTATTTACCTTTGTCCACAGTGAAAAAACCCTGCGTGACTTAAGCCAACTGTGTTCAGCTTTTCATTGCTATGACATCTGAGAAAAATCAGCCTTTAAAAGAGGAGAGATTTATTTTGTCTCACAGCCTCAGAAGTATAGGATCAGCTGGCTCCATTTCTCCTACAGTTGTGGTGAGGCAGAACATCAGGCAGGGAGTGTGTGGGTAGAGGAAGACTTCTCTCCAAATGGCAGCCTGAAGCAGAAAGCAAGCATGTCCTCTAGTGGCTTATTTTTCCACTTTCCTTAGTCTCTTCCAGCCTCCAGTCAGTTGGATGATGCCACTCACATTTAGGGCAGGTTTCTCTAGTCCTACATGCCAGTTCTCTGGAAACACCCTCACGAACACATCGGAAATTGTGCTTCCCAAGTTTCCTAGGCATTTCTCAATCCAATCAAGTCGACAAGATTAACCACCACACCAGCCTTTCTGCTCAGAGGTTCCAAAATGACGTGTTCACCATGGGCATGTGTGGCCAGTGACACGTGAGGCAGAACAGAACTCTGCACACTCAGGAAGATGGATCAAAGTTCTTCTGTTTCTTCCCTTGAAAATGTTGCAGCACAAACATTCCCTTTACATTAGTCAGCTTTTCTGTTCCTGAGACAGAATACCCATAGTCACAACTTAAAGAAGGAGAGATTC